GACGATCAAGTTGTGCGATTTACGAATGTTTTTTTCGTGAATTTAAATTCAACCAGTCTGCTACCCAAAAGGATAAAAGATCAGATTATTGGTAAAGGATTAGTGGAACTGTTCGCCACTGGTTGGAAAGTTTTCCTTCATTAGATACAACATATGTTAAAATAGTCAACTAAAGACATTCAGCAACTTCTTAAGGACTTCAAACCGCACAACACTTCTTGCCATTAGAACAACTTCCAGACATTCAAAATTGGTTGATTCATCAGACCACCAGAATAACGGTACAAAAATCAGTCATTCCTGAGATGTACAATAATTACGATGTAAAATAAATCATGTCTGACAATTGACTTCCATCAGGTTAGCAGTTAGATGACTATCAGCTACTTGGTTAACGCCAAAACCGTCTCTTATTCAGGATTTATCTAATGAAAGGTGAATATGGGGGGAAGGGAGGCACATCTTCCAAGCCCAGCTCCAATAATTTGCTAGTGCGTCAGCAAAAACACATGGAGGCGAGAGTTATCCTGGTAGGAAAATAATCTCTTCGCGATGGGCTAATTGTGGATGTTTTTACATTATACTCTAAAAATGACGGTTTGGTTGCCGAAAGAAACTATTAACCATTCTCGTCTAATCCACCAAATTCACATCACCTTCTTGGTATGTGAAACGGTTTCTGGAGTAGTGAACGGTCGGTCGCTGGTTATGCCCAAAAATTTTCTTGTCGGATCATTGTAAAGAATCCACTTTTGGACCCTAGTTATCAATCTGTTCAACATTGGGTCTTTTACATTATGTTTAAAATGGAATCGCAGAAAGAGATGATGCCCAATAAATTCTTGTTAATCAACACGTGAGGAACTCTTCATCGCTCCGACAATTATTTCCAGCTGCTCTCAGATGATTTAAAACACTATGAGATATGTTATTGCCTGTACGATGTCTCGAGTCAGTGACGGTCGGATTAGTGTGATAAAAGTTTAAATTGTGTCATGTTCATGGGGCTAATTCAAAACTTCATCACCACGCATACCAAAATTTTTTTTAGCAGTTTAAGCGGTGGTTTTTTTCAGTAATAAAAATATATTAAATGACGGAAAACAATATTTTTCCTTTTTTTTTTAATTCAGACAAACCTCCTGTAAAAATAGGAACGAATTGAACAATAAAACCTTTTCAGAGAGTGTAAATAATATAAATAAACATTACTTGAAAAAACAGAGCTACAAACTTACTTTACAACCAAATGTTTAAAAAAAATCGTTAGCCTACATACGTCACACGCCCACAAAATGTGTATAAAATTTTATTCAAATTGTTCAATGGGTTTTTCCATATAGATAATGTTAGTCTTGACTGGGCTATTAGATGTAAAAAAATCAAAGGATAGAATCTTAAATAAAACCCATAGTCGTAGATTTATTCTTATAAAATTTTAAGGAAAAATATTATTTATTGGCGAAAGGCAACATTGCACGTATATCGACGACAAATACAAATCTTGAATCCTTATATAAAAACATAACATTCACATACCAGCAATAACTAAACCATGGTAATTTCACTGAAATTTTCAGTTCCACAATTACAGAAAACTACCGCAACTGGTACCAAACAATGAAAAATATTACAAACAACAATGGCCACAGCCCAATCACTCTGTAAATAAAGGAAAGAGAAGATGAAAACAAAACGAAACTCCAAAAATAAGACATAAAATGAACCAAATTAAGAAAAGGACCAATTATTGAACAATTCAGTCATAAAAACCGTACTAAAGCGACTGATAAATTTGGAAAACTAAGAACGTATAATCATCACGTACCGAAAAAAATGATACTGCGGAAAAATAATATAAACCGCAGATAACATAAAATAAAATTTAAGAGTTGAGTTTTTGTAGTCCAGTTTTTCCAACATTTAAGTTGTAAGACATTATATATTCTTCATTTAGTTAAGTCGAGTTACATGTATATGGATAGTAAATAAATATTTTTGAAATTGAAAAATTTAAGGACTCATTTCACACAATACAAACACCCTACGAACTATCCCAAATACTCTTGTAAGTACTATAGAAACCGTATGTATAAAACGGAAGACAAAGGTGACGTATTTTGAAACAAACGAGCACACTTTCAATACAAAAATGACCCACCCATAAATTTGTGAATAAGTATTCACAAATTTATAACACTTGACAAATTAAGAAGGAAAGTATCAGAAGATTATAAAGACCGAACAAACTAAAACGAAGGCTTAATCCGTCAAAGACGCCGACCGATACCACCAAGATAGCACTCCTTTCACATATCAGGAACATTTAGTATGGATCCAAGGAAACAAAAATCACACTAACTCAGAAACGCGTCTGACTGGCTAATGATAATAATCGAACAGTTCATCGCTATGAAGATCTCCAGAAGAATTCTCACAAAAACATGAAAAGGTGGATTCTGCGGTTGTTCTTGATTACGTTTATTCTATTCATCGCAAAATCTTTAATAGAATCGATGATTTCATTATAGACTCGTTTAAGACACTAGAGAAAAACGAAATTTTACAAAAGAACGAATGGTTTTTCCAGGATGATGATCAGTTGAAATGTTCGTAGGCCTGTAGGTACGAGATTTGCCTCTCCGGTCACGTGACTCTCGGTGATTAAGATCCGGGATTAACATGGAAATGAAGGAGGTTCCTAAAGTGATATAATTATCAAGGGCTAACGTCTGCTGAATATCAAACGGTCAGGCTCATCTACCCTTCTCTAAGTGATCTGTTTCTCGGCTAAGTGCCCAGTTTGTGTGCTCGCCCGGCTTAGCTGAGTTTTAACAACGGATTTACCTACTCGAATAAGTGAAGGGGAGGATTAAAGGTTCGGCCGAGCCCCACGTGATTTTCCTCTTTTAATTTGCGCTCTTAGAAGAATTTGCATAATCACACTTCATCTAGGACAGTGGTGATTCCTCGCACGAATTGCCTACTAAAGTACCTCCCTCACCGATCGCAATTAAACCTCGCCGAAAAAAAAGTTTCCAAACAGTTTTATTTACAACAGCTCAGAAATTAAAAGAACTAAATGAATAGAGCTAATTTGTTAAATACAACTAAATCACAGCTTAATAAAATATAAAATTCGAAAACGGTGGTTGTAGACACTGGCGGAAGGAAGTTTTGTATATATCTACGCTTCAAGTTCACTACCAGGGAATAATTCCGGTTGTTTAGTAAATCGTTTAAACTTTATTTTAAAAAAAAGAAAAAAAAGTTTATATGAACCATTGACCGATTCTCAACCCATTCGCAGATATTCAACAACATTTTATGTTCCCTCCCCCCAACTATTAACTAGGGCATAAATCTAATCGACGATCTTAAACTATTCATTTTTGAGGAAATAAATAATGAAAAACTGAAAAGTATTAAATTTTAATTTTAAGAAGGCACCCATATAGAACTTTGAATTTTTTGGTAAAAAGAAACACTAAATCTCTCAAAAATTTAATATTTGTAAAAAAACAAATTGCAACCTCATTGGAAAAATTACGGTACAGCTTGAAAATTTCATAACAACTTCTTCATTTAATAGGCTTTTTAGCGGTATACCATTTTCTTGAATTTCATCGAACCCAAATGCAGAAATTTTACGCTAACAAAATGATGATGGTGTGAAAAAGGGGGATGGGTTGAGGGACTATTTTAATTTAGTTCCCCAACTTAAATTTAAAAAAAAAGCACAACAAGAAAGGAAAATTAAACAACTCGTGTAAAAACAGACAAAATCATAGCGAACAACCAAAGCAGAAAAATAAAACAAAATATCTACACGAAACAAAGACAAAAGAGAAAAAGAACAGTACACAAGTTCTAAAACCCTACTTTAACCTAATAAAAAAGCACAAAAGAAAGAAAAATTTGACGAACAAATAAAAAAAATAATAATAAAAAAACACAAAAACAGTCATTTTGTTGTGCCTATTCTTGTCAGGATTGCCAGGCGCATTTCTGCGTTTCACCTTTTTCAATGTCGGGTTTAATTCCCATTAATTCATTTTAAATTAATAATTCTTGTAATTGATGATGAATAGCACTAGTAGACCCCAATTTTTTTCGTGGGTATTTCAACTACGAGATCATATTAATCCCCGCAGTTCCTGTGTTTTCGAAAAAAAGTACATTTGAACGTAATTCAGGGCCGCTGAGATTCGAACCATAAGGTTTTTTGTTTGTTTTATATTGACTGTCAATATTAATTTATTTCATTTTATCGTATTGATAAATTTCTGTCTGTACCAATAACCAATGCACTCTCTTGTTATAGAATATTATAATAATTATAATCAGTAATTAAAATGTGAGGTTAACACTCCCAACACGACACACAACCTGACCAATCTACACAGAAAACACGCACTTCGAGCCCTGGAGATGATTTAAATAAAGATCGAAACGTTGGCACAACAACGACAATGTTTTTCTAAACCTACTTCACACCAGACCGCATCTCATGAACTCCAAATAATCAGTAATTTTAATTTACTAAATGTAATCCTGTTGATATTTTGTTGTTCAGTTATTTTCTATTCTATCTATATAAAAATCTAAAATTTAAAATAAAAGCTAATCTTCTTCGTACGTACGTTTCTTTCCCCGGTAATGTTGACTCAAAGGTAGAAATGTAACGAGCAACCTGACCTCGCAAAAGCAATAAAGATTAGAACATCTGACAAACTGTTGAAAGAAAAAAACCAAGAAGCAGCGTATCAACAAATATGGTGAATCCCCGGAATGTACCGAGATAAAAAAATAAATATGGCTGACCCAGACGAATATAAACGTCTCAGTTTATTCACTCAGTCGTTAGAACGCAATCGTTGCAGGAAAACGTGTGAACCGTTGAGATAGAAGCAGATACAATTTGTTTTTCCGGCCTTACGAGGGAAATCGATGTATTTACGGGACCAGGCGCAAATCGAATAAAAACAATTTTTTTCCAGAAGAAATCAAATTCGGCGTGGACAGGCTGATGAAGTCGGAGACGGACGAGGACGAGGACCGGGGGCGGAAGGATTCGGCGGACGTGACGACGATGACGACCGATGGCGGCTGTTCGTCGCCGGAGCTGGAGGTGGACTCGCCGCCGCCCCCGCATACATCGCGTCCGCACAAAAATTCCGAACTGTTCAGTGTGAGTGCCCTGTTGCGGTCGGACGTGCCCCGGGCGAAACGTCCCTCACCGCCCCCGTTTCATCCCCTGCTCTCGAGGCACGGCCTTCCGCTCTACCCACCCGTCAAAGAGGACGCCAACAGGAACCTCCTCTCAGGATCTCTCTACCTCAGCCTAGGGGCCATGCATTATGCCATCGCCGCCGCAAACCCCGCAGGTAATGAACATTATTACCTTCTTACTTTAGAAGCTCTGACTGATGACTTAAAATAGTCAAAGTTCTTTTGCAACAGTTCATAAAATTAAATAAATGTTCAAACAAAACTATTTATTGCGTGTATTATTATAATAAATAGTTGTTTATTTAAAAAAATTTACAGTGATAAGGCACATTTCAAAGAATTAAAAACATTTAGTTTTTAGTTAGCAGAACAGAGTATTTTTCTTCCTTTCAAATTTTCCTTTACCCTTGGTTTTTTTAAAATAAATAACTAATGCTGATGTATTTGATATCAGCATTAATCAAGACTCAATAGTAGAAAAACCTATTTTAGCTCGAACAATGACTGAAGACTCAGTGAGTGTATGGTGTTTTTATTAGAAGTTGTTCGACTGCTTTTCTTATACCCCTTTTCAAAGACTCCATTGTCGGTGTTTTTTCTACATGCTATGCCTTCCAATCTGATCACATTTTATAGACCAAAAGAATTGAGATCAGAGCTGGCGGAAGGCCACTTTTCTCAGCTGGTTACCACCATTACCACGATTTTGAAAGTATTAGTAATGATTTAAACTTGTTACAAATCTTTAGTAATAGTTTCAAAGTCCTGATTAAGGGCATAAATTCCTCGACAGCTTGACGACAGAATAGAGTATTTTTTTTCTTTCAAATTTTCCTTAGACCTGATTTTCTATCAATAATTATTGCTGATATCAGATAAGATGTGATTGATATAAGAATTAACCAATGTAGACTAGTTACTTAATACTAGAAAAATCTCTTTTAACTCGAATACAGGACTGAAGTCAGTCCGCTGTATTTTTCTAGTAGAAATTGTACGACTGCTTTTATCAGATCCGTTTTCAATGTTTCCATTCGGGTTGTTTCTACGATTTATGCCATCCAATACAGCAAATTTATATTCCAAAAAAATTGAGAACTGGTCTCAGCTGATAAATTCAGGAATCATTCTTATCTTGGGCTCGGGACATTTCGTTTTGCCTTGGAGCTGATACCTGTTGGGATATGGTTTTAATAAAAGGATTACCACTTCAATAAGAGATCCAACGGCTGTGACAGAACTTATGGAAAACTGTAAAAATTAAAAAGTTCTCAGACAAGCCTTAACCGTGAATTTTTTTGAGTTTTGTTCTGGGTTCCGATCATTCTAACTTGTTCAGTTTCGGTCTGTCAGATGCGTTTCGGCTTTTCGCCATTTTTCAGTGGGGGTTTGTTGTCTGTCATGCTTCATTTAGCTTACATTCCGACAACGTGAAGATGGCGATGTTCTGAATGCATAGGCAGTTCATAATGATGTGAAACTACCTATCTATTAAATCGTTTTCTAGACCGAAAACCACTACATTTTATGTCTTTATGACCCTATCACCAATGTAGTAAAATCATACCCACAACAGCCTTATCATAGTTTTTCAACCCCAAAGATAAGTAAAGGGTACAAAAAAAAAAGAATATAGCTATCATGTCAGATAGCCAAGCAGCCATCGAAGCACTAAGTTCAAGTACCATTAACTCAAGGATAGTGCTGAACTGCAGAACCAAATTAAACATATTAGGTATGCAGAATAAAGTCAGCCTCTGCTGGGTCCCAGGACACATGGGAGTAGAAGGCAACGAGAAAGCGGACACCCTTGCAAGGAAAGGAGCTGCCAGACCGCTGATATGACCTGAACCCTTCTGTGGCATAGGAATCCACGCTATTAACGAATATCTCAGACAGAAGGACAAAAAGAAAATGAGGGAACTTTGGAATTCACTCACTGGACATAGACAATCCAAGAATCTTCTAACCAATTTTGGTAGGAAAGAAATTACGGAATGTGTCAAAGGAAGCAGGAACAGACTGAGAATCCTAATAGCACCCTACTACGAATCCTAGTAGGCATACGTCATGACCTATCATTCACATTCACCCCTCGAACAATATTAAAATAGTCGTAGAAATAAATCATAGAGGGTAAAGAAAGACCTTAACCAAATATTGGGGGTACGTAGTTTGTACAAAATTAAAAATCTGGTAGTAATTTTTTTGTGACGCAGGCTTGAAGTCCTTCCATGGCATATGTGTGGCCTTCTATTTACAGACTGTTTTTTCCCAATCGGTTACAGGCTCGTCGAGTAGTTTACACCCGATGGGTAGCAGCTCGGAAGACCTGTACAGGCTGCGGCAACAGCTGATGGCCGGCGGTCCGAGCCATCCCCACGACCATCATCACCACTTCCTCGCCCCCGACGTCTACTCCTGTATCAAATGCGAAAAAATGTTCCCGACGCCCCACGGCCTCGAAGTACACTCGCGGAGGTCGCACAACGGCAAACGGCCGTTCGCCTGCGAACTCTGTAACAAGACTTTCGGCGCCGAGGTCTCGCTATCGCAACACAGGTAATCAATCTCTGATAAGTTTACGTATATTTTTTATTTCTAAATTTGTCAATTTAGTGCAACACTACGTTCTTTACATATATTACTACTAAATACCAGAATTTCAAACGGACCTGAAATGGTGAGACAAAATTATATGAGGGCGAGCAGGTTTTGTAAGGATCTCTGTAGAAAAAAAAAACAAAAACAAGAACATACGGCGTTCGCTACCTCACAAATTAGCAACTGTAAAAGATTCAAAGATGTATTGGTAAAGAGAGGAAAGACTTTTATTTGTGTTGAGCTATCTGTGGGTTCAGCACAACAGTTTACTAATGAATACGTTAAAAACTGACGAAAATTCGTACTTCTATGGAGAACCTATGATTTTTAATTGCTCTCTAGACGCGCCATTCACACTTGAGGAACTATTCGGCTGATACGGTACAAATAAGTTAAAAGGCAGCGGACCGAGATAGAATGCCAAACGAGTTTTTTAAATATGCCCTACAACAATTTAATTCCAAGAACAACTCACTCCTTTGCGTTTATAACTATGTTTATGAATATGGTTCATATTCATATTCATTCATTTGGCGAATTGATTATTTTCCCTCTATTTAAGCATAGGGATAGAAATGATCCCACTAAATACAGAGGTATTTCATGTCTGAATGTAGTGGCCAAGTTTTTTTCTGGTTTACTAGAAATTCATGTTAATGCGAACGGTGAAAGTCAAATAGGGTTTAGAAAAGGGTTTTGATCTTGTATTGCCCAACGTAGTCAATTTAAGTCCGTCGAAGCCAAAAACAAAGCTTTTGATGTTGATGATGATGTTCTAAGATGGTCAACACTTTTTATTTTAGATAACAAACACGTATATTTTCAAAACGCTATAAGTTTTTTTAAGCATGGCGAAATGAAGGCTAAAGAGAATTAAAATACCTTTAACATACTTTCTTCTAGTAGTTTCTAGTCTCGTTAAATGTATAAAGATAATTCATAAGAACTCAATTGTCATACAAATATGGGTCTGACTCTTCTAATGTGTAAAATAAATATTTAGTCAACAAATTAAACAGAAACGTAAAATAAAAAATGAACATGTAATTTTTCATGTACACACATAATACTACTATAATATATATGACCACATTGAGGCGTTGATCAATGTTATTTCTTCTATTGCATTTCAATACTGGACTACATTTCTTTCTTTTAACGAGTGTTGTGTGTTAACCCGCCTCAATAAGTAACCAAATTGAATATGAATTTAATTTTTGTTCTTTTAATAAGAATCTTTTCAAATACATTAGATATGATGGAGTTATTTTTGTTTAAACTTTAAAAGACTAAGGATTCTTGCCGCGTTGCCCTCACTGGAATCCAAAAACCAGAGGTAAAAATCTTAAGGTCTTAATTTAATCGACGAATAGATTTTAAGGAAATGTAATTATATTTGCAAAAATAGGCACAAAAAATTGTTGTAATAAAAAGTAAACGAAACGTTAAAATAAAAAAAATCAGCTATTTTAAACTTCGGCAAAGGTATATTTATGTACACATCAACAATTAAATTATCAAGAAGAACAAATTCTTGTAAAGTAAAAAATAGTGTATATGCTTTAATTACTGTTGTGAAAAAATGCAAAAGAATAAATAAAAATTGTAGCTTTTACAAATACACATTTCAATTTAAGTACAAAACTCATCGGACCACATCGACATTGCAAAAATGGTTATAAAAAATCACACTCATACTAACCCGAACATATATTTAAATCATCCTACTGGCAGGAAGGTAACGAGTAAGTTATAAATTTATTGATTATTTATCTGTTGTGTGACAGGTGGCTCTGCTGTCGCAGGTCTGTACATAATGTGGAAAAAGTGTTCCAGTGCAAACAGTGCGGGAAGACGTTCAAAAGGAGTTCCACGCTCTCCACCCACCTCCTCATACATTCGGACACGAGGCCGTACCCGTGCCAGTTCTGCGGGAAACGATTCCACCAGAAGTCCGATATGAAGAAGCACACCTACATTCACACAGGTGAGCGATCGAAAATAATTAAATTGACACAATTCGCTAAAAAATACGTTAAGCGATTAAAGATTCTCAGATTCAACAACCAACTGTTAAATTAAACTAAATCAAAACTAATGCCGTTTAAATACCCATAATTCTTGGGCATGCAATTATCGCGTTTTGTCTGTTTATAAAAATGTGATTATCAAAATAGGTTGCCCTGACAGGAAAAAATGACTTGTGGATCTTCGTACTTTTTGACAAGTATAAACTAAGTCAAAACAATTTAAAAAATATAACAAAACGAGAGAGAGAGAGAGAGAGAGAGAGAGAGAGAGAAAGAGAAAGAGAGAGAGAAAGAAAGAAAGAAAGAGAGAGAGAGAGAGAGAGAGAGAGAAGAAATAAAGAAAACACTAAAAAATAGAGAAAGATATATATGTATTCAAGTTCAAGTTTGATTATTAAACTCTCGTGGGTTTCCAGTTCTCTCAAACGCGTTTCAGCCTCAGTGAGGAACACCCGCTAGTATAAACAGACCCCAATAAACTGAAGTCGATTTGAACAACTATCACCAAAGGTAATGGAGCCCCAATCTATTATCTATCCTACCATAAGTACTTCATAAAATTAGGTACCAATGTTTTCAGTGTACCTTGAACCCAAAAGTAAGTCTCCGCGTGTCAACAACCACCTATATACAACAGGGTGGTTTGTTTGCGTTTTAATTTTAATTGGTTAGTGGTAGGACTACTAACCGGTCACTGGTATCTGAGAAAACATCTACACAAATGGGTATATACAACGGTGATCCTATTTGCAGATTATGTAATGAGGAGGAGGAAACAGCCACTCATATCATCTTCGAATGCGAAGCAACAGCTCAATGGAGGATTAACCTAACGTATGGAAAAGACTTAAAGAATCAAATTGCAGCAGCAACAGTCAATGACCTGATACTTCTAAGAAGAAGGATTGAGGCTATTGACTGAACTAAGGAACTAGAAAGGTACAATAAGCCAGAAGGCTGCAGTGCCTGGGGAATACAAACCCCGCTTCGTAGTATCCTTTTCCACCATACCACACTATACCGGCCGGAACGTGTGGGGCCACCATGTATATAAAAACTGTATATATAATCAAAGAATATATATACTATATAACTACTTCAATCTCATTCAGAAAACTACAACTGTTGAATATGAAGTTTCTCGGCAAAACATTGGTCCGTTTTATTTGCCAGTATTTTTGTAGAGGTATACGCTGTTTTATCTCCCCTGGTTGTGGGAGAATGACTCTGTAGTAAGAACTTCAACAAGACGATGACTTATTTTTAAATACCAGACGTGAAATAAAAATGAGCTTTATGGATAAGACAAATTGTTTTTATGGGATTTTTCCTATCAATCATTTAAAATGGAAGAATTATATTTTTTATCTGACAAGCAGAAATCTATGAGTAGAGTTTTAAGAGCCTATTGTCCGCTAAGGGCCTTGTCGTCGGCCACCTATAAAACAAATCGATCCGCCGGTGATAATGAATTAATGAAAATGCCTCTGAGCATTTTCAGTTTCTGCCGTCGGCCGGTCACGTAAGCTAGCGTGCAGGGAGTGTGTTTACACAGGAGGACCCTGTTCTAATGTCCACTCGACTCCCTTTCCCTCGATTTGCTTCGATTTCGGTGGAAACAAAGGTGAAAATATTGAGGCTAATTGGGGGGCGAGAGGGTGGCGGTACGAAAGGTAAGGAGAATCAATTCGGCCCGTTTCCACGAATCGTGGGCGTTGCCGCCCAGTGTAAATATCGTGCAGTGAGATACTTTCAACGATTTGTTTTGCATTATTTCTCGTCAAAATAGGGGGGCTTTCTTCTTTTGAACTTTCCCGAGTTGAACTTCTGTGATTTGCTTATTCTTTCTGAAACCGTTGAACTGAGTAGAACAAGTTCTATAAACAATATTCCATTTTTATAATTGTGCTTCTACAAAACGCTTGGGAAGTTTTTCAAATGAAGGGTTTCTTGTTTCTAATAGTATTGTATATACTATATGTATTGTTCAAAGTGGGCGTTGTATGCATCTTTTTGATGTGTGATTAATAATATAATAAGGATTTTTTAAAATAATTTCTTCCTGTTTTTTTTTGTTTTTTGAACTTTTAACCAATGATGAAACAAATCTGAAGATGGGATTTTGAATGCGATTGCATGTCGTTGGAATCCAAAAAAAGTCGTTATCATTATTATTATTATTCAACACGTTCGGGGGCGGACGGGACACGGAAGTGTAAAATCTGCCCCGGCACGCGACGCCCGCGCCAACCCCCTTTAATCACCGGTCACCAAATTTCAACTCGACGCTCCACTCTCATTATAAAATCGGTTATTAGCAAATTAAAGTGATGTAATAATACTTAGAGGGTGTCCGTGTGATGTGTAATTTGAGTGGAAAATTAAAACTGCACCCTTGATTATTTCCTAGATTATTTTGTTTAATTGCACTTTTCAACTGAACTGTATGACAATCAATAAAACTGATGTTTTTTGGAAGTTTCCGGAATGATTAACGATTGGTCGTTTTTGGTTCTGTCTGTCTGTTTCGGGCTGTGAGACGCCTTGCGGCATTTCACCGTGAGTTTAGGAGTTACTTCCTCAATCGTATCGTTTTATAACTTAAGCTAAACTTCTGCCTAAAAGTATTCGATAACAAAGTTTTTCTTATCCAAAGTCTCTAGATATGTAATATGAAGAAGTACACTGAATATAGCAAAGAGCTGAAACGCGTCTGGCATACCAAAACAGCGAGGATAAATGAACCACTATAAACGGAGACAACTTAACGTAAGGTTCATCATCAAATATACATCAATAAAAGTGATCAAAATAGAACAGAGAATGAATAGTTGTGATTTTTGTAAACAAATATCGACCAGTTGTGGTTGTCGGCTGCTCGAATATATGTTTTAAAATGAGAATCAGCGCCGATTTTTCACCCATCCCACCAATTAATGATGTGTTCTACAAGGAAGTTTTCTAGGTCCAATCCTTTACAACATCTACACTGCTGACATAGTTACAGTTTCATACACACAACTCACAACCTATGCCTACGACACCGCAATCCTACATACACACTCCAATCCTAGCCAGAGAATTACCATGCTCACCATGCTGACTGGTGGCAGATCAGGTTGAACGCGCAAAAAGCCAACAATTAACGGTTGCTTTCAAACGTTAGACCTGTCCACCACAACATAATACTTGCATCTAGGCGAGTTCACTACCTTGGGCTTTACTTGGACTTACATCGAACCCACATATAAGACTAAAAAGTTACAAAGATAAGAAATTAACAAAATATATGGACTACTTAGATACCTAATGCGATCAAAATCAATACTAAGTGTATATAACAAACTAAGTAAGCTTACAAAATCAGACCTATTTGGACTTACGGGGTCGAACTGTAGGACTCGGCCAAATCCTCCAACATCGAACGAATCCAATCGTATCCTCAATGCTCCCTTCTACGTCACCAATCAAATGATCCATAAAGAATTTAAATTCCCATTCGTGATGGATCTAATCTCATCCCGGAAAGTATGATATATTTCAGTGTTTTTTACAATGTGTAAATTGTTTATTTATTTATTTAGAAATCATGAGATGCGGTCTGTTTATTTATTGTTGATTTAATTTATAGTTTTTTAAATGTATTAAGAAAAGTAGCTCCAAATACAATATAATAAAAGGAATATATAAAATAAGACTGATTATTCGAAACAATTAAATTTATATTGTTTCTGCACGATTCCTTTACAAATAAAATCACTGCATGATTGAAGTCATTGAAGTCAAAATTATGAAAACTACACGTTTTTGACAATTTAGAAAGACATCATCGGGAATATGTATGCAATTTGGATCCAGAGTAAGAAGGCAAGAATGATCAGAACTATGTAAAACACACACACACACACACACACACATATATATATATATATATATATATATATATATATATATGTGTGTGTGTGTGTGTGTGTGTGTGTGTTTTACATAGTTCTGATCATTCTTGCCTTCTTACTCTGGATCCAAATTGCATACATATTCCCGATGATGTCTTTCTAAATTGTCAAAAACGTGTAGTTTTCATAATTTTGACTTCAATGACTTCAATCATGCAGTGATTTTATTTGTAAAGGAATCGTGCAGAAACAATATAAATTTAATTGTTTCGAATAATCAGTCTTATTTTATATATTCCTTTTATTATATTGTATTTGGAGCTACTTTTCTTAATACATTTAAAAAACTATAAATTAAATCAACAATAAATAAACAGACCGCATCTCATGATTTCTAAATAAATAAATAAACAATTTACACATTGTAAAAAACACTGAAATATATCATACTTTCCGGGATGAGATTAGATCCATCACGAATGGGAATTTAAATTCTTTATGGATCATTTGATTGGTGACGTAGAAGGGAGCATTGAGGATACGATTGGATTCGTTCGATGTTGGAGGATTTGGCCGAGTCCTACAGTTCGACCCCGTAAGTCCAAATAGGTCTGATTTTGTAAGCTTACTTAGTTTGTTATATACACTTAGTATTGATTTTGATCGCATTAGGTATCTAAGTAGTCCATATATTTTGTTAATTTCTTATCTTTGTAACTTTTTAGTCTTATATGTGGGTTCGATGTAAGTCCAAGTAAAGCCCAAGGTAGTGAACTCGCCTAGATGCAAGTATTATGTTGTGGTGGACAGGTCTAACGTTTGAAAGCAACCGTTAATTGTTGGCTTTTTGCGCGTTCAACCTGATCTGCCACCAGTCAGCATGGTGAGCATGGTAATTCTCTGGCTAGGATTGGAGTGTGTATGTAGGATTGCGGTGTCGTAGGCATAGGTTGTGAGTTGTGTGTATGAAACTGTAACTATGTCAGCAGTGTAGATGTTGTAAAGGATTGGACCTAGAAAACTTCCTTGTAGAACACATCATTAATTGGTGGGATGGGTGA